GGTCAGGCTTTAATGTTCTTTCCTTGTTACCTTACTCCTTGAGCCAGCCCTGGGACATTTCCCAGACCAGTTAATACCATGTCCCACAGCCCACAGGCAAACATGGAGAATGTTCTGCTTCTGTTCGCCGTACATACTACTTCTCTTTCTGCCTTACACTACCCATGCCAGCAAGGGCTTTCAACTCCTGGCACAAACATGTTGGAAAGATACAGATAGGAAAGTCAACAGATAGCACAGACTTCATTTCTCATTCCCTTTTCTCAGCCTTTGTTAGAAGTGACCTTGAGTGTTTCAGGAATGGGGGCAGGTGTGAGCAATCTATTCCCCTCCTCCTCAGCTGGGGAGCATACTGCAAAAATTGTTTCCTGAGAGCCAAGAAGGGGCCCCAGGCCAGTGTCACGGGACCTGTTCCATTAACCTGGGTCCTCAGGCAGGGAAGATTCTGTCCCCAGTCTCCTTCTCCCCATGTTTTATCCTGAAAGTGTCCCCCCAGCTGTGACAAATTGATCACAGCCAGCCACGTGCTGGGTGAACCTGGTTTGTATTTCATCACCACCACAAGAGACAGTGATGCAAAACATAATGTCCTTCAATGCTTTGCCCCAGGGTTTGAAAGCCTGTGTGCTCAGTGCGGGAAAGAAATGAATCACCTGAAGGAAATTCATTCAGCCGTCTTATCCCTACAGAGAGCCCAACAAGACATACACAGGTAACCATTTTCTCTCATCAAATCAATGATCTTAATGGGCTAAAAGTAGCCTGTGGCATTTAACTCCTGCACGGTGGCCTTTGAAGCGTCCTTATAAGCTGCAGGGGTGCAGTTAACAGCTGCTTCAATAGGTAGCCTATTAACACACCAGAAAGGCAAACCCAGTCCCTGCTTGAAACAGCGAGGAAACCTCTTAAGACTCTTTATGGGGCAGAAAGCATCACCTCAGCATGTTAAGCACCCCTTGGCAGTCCCAATGGCAAAACCACTGCAGAAGTCGGGAGGGGCTGGGCCAGGTCCTGGCTTGGCGAGAAGGTGTGGGGGTCTCCCTTCCCATCGAGCGTGTTATGAATTTGCTCAGTTTGCTGCAGTGATGCAGGTGTGTGGTCTGAAAACTGGAGTCTGTGGGTGAAAAGCACTAAAGTCCCACTTTTTGTATAAACCAGTAGTTGCTGTGAGGGGGAAGCAGGGAGCACAGCTGCTTAACCTACTGCTGTCAAAGGGCTTTGCCCCACAGAGTCCTGCGGGGAGGGTTCGCTGCTGCGCCTGCCCCAGGGAGCCGTGCTGGTTCCCTTCTGCGTGAGGAGTCATCCAGCCCTCGCGAGGCGTCCGCGGGGTGGACGCCGTCAGGGATATGGCGTTAGCTTTTCTCTGCTGCTCTGGGCACGTCCAGGGCAAGCTCTTGTATTTGGGAAGACCTTCCCATGCCACCCAGCACGTGCTGCCCGATCCAGCAGCAGCCACAAGTTAAAAAGAGGGGAGGTAAAGTTGGCGGGGCACAGTGCTGTACCCGTGAGGGGGCTCTGAAGTAGGGGGATCCCTCCCAGTGTGGGGGCTCTAGGCATGCACACGTGTGCGGAATGCACACCTCCCTCTGCCACGCAAATAAACATCCTGCTTTCTTTTCCAGAAACCTCAGTGCTCTCAACAAAAAGTCCTTCCACAGGAAGGTCTCCTCTGAAAGCTTCCTCCTGGACTCTCGCTGTTGGTTTCTCCTCTGCATCTTTCTTACGTGTCAACTATTCATTAATTATGTCTTCAAATAAAATCACTACGTTTGGCAGCAATAACGAGTACTGGCTGCAGGAGGGGGGCCACTCGCGCAAGGAGCCCAGTGAGGCACCAAAGCACTTTAGAACCAACGCGGCAGAGGTGGAAGAAAGTTGAAAAACGAGGTTAAAAAGGGACCTAGGAACCTGCAAAACTTTGTTCCTGCAGATTATGTCATTTTTGCCTTTTACATGTACATCTTCAAGGACCTCTTAACCTGTACGGGCCTTAATGCTGAAGCCAAATGTAGCTTTAATTGTGCAATTTGTTTTCTATGTCTTGTCATTTTCTGATGCAATTAATAACTACCCAGCAGTATTGGTACCCCAAAAATGGTAAACACCCCAGTGTTCTGGAAAGGCCATGCCGGCCTCTGCGAGTGAGGGAGTGCAGCGGGGGAGCTCTAAAGAACTGATGGCCATGGTGCCTGTCCAGCTGCCTTTATTTATGGGAGGGAGCACTCTTGGTCCAAAAAATCCACCCCCAGGATATTAAGTCATGATCTGTTTTGTCAGCAAACACAGAATGGGACCTCAGGATGTGTTTTATTTTCCATTCCACGGGAACTGTAAATATGCACAATTTCCTAGAGCCGTTCCTCTGTCGGAAATGGGAAGCATTCAGTGAAAGCTCCTCGTGTGGTTACGGAGCTGACTGGTGCCCTGGATCAGGCCCCATCGAGTGTAATGTCACATACGCCTGTTCGTAAAACCCGATCACTTACTATTATTGTTGTTATTATTTGCTATATGGCTGTTTTATAATATCATACACTAGCATTGTAGAGAGGAATCCACTGCCCCAGGAGAGGCGAGAAGGATGGGACGATATAGGTGTACATGTGTTGGGTCGTAGGCACATTTATTGTCAAAGGTCAGGAAGGAGGAAGGGTTTTGCCACTGCATTGTTCAACTCTGTTAATAGTCTTCCTATTTTACACCATTTTTTAAAGAATTGCAATATTTTCTGTAGACTGCGGACAATACTAAGCCGTTCTTTTCTGGCCTGAATTAGTTCCAAGTGGTAAGTACTGCTATATATACAGCCTTAAAATACTTAGTGGTGGTGCCAGTCTGGGCTATCTTTCAATGTAAATGTTTCCAAATTTTTGAGTACATTCCTCGTCATATTCCCCCGTTAGGGGAAACCTGTTTGTGCTTGATATGTTGAAATAAAACTACACACAACTTTCAGTGGCAGTCTATCTGACAAATTATTTCTGTGCTTGAACTTGGTTTTTTGTTCGATAGCATTTTACAAGTAGGCAACTCTTAGGCCATGGTTTTTAGAGGAAAAGCTACAGGAAAAGACCTTCAAGAATCTCAGACATAGGCCCTAAGTTAGAACAGCAATAGCATTTTGATACCCCTCTGGATCAAATTGTCCATGTCTTCGACTTGTAGCAACTTCCCAAAATAGAAAGAAAAGTGGTTGCCTTGATTTTCAGTGTTGTACATGTAAATGTACAGGCTTGTCTTGGACTTAGAAAAGCTTTATGTTAAGGAGGTAACTTGATTGAGAATAGATAGTTCCATGGGGAGAACCACAGCTCCCTGACATGGACAGGATAAGAGCTGGCCTCCGGAATCCGACATTCAGGAAACAGATCACACATACTAAAGAGTGAGAGTGACTTCATTATTAGCAGAAGTTTCCAGAAAACCAAAGGATTCTTATCCTTGAGGAATCATCCTTGAAGAATGTCAACATCATCAATCCAGATCAGGTTCATTTTTGAAGGACACCACCCTAGTCACTCCCTTCTGGAGAGCTCTGACCCGCAGAGTGTCACACTCGGGAGAGGGGGACCCCGGCCTCACCTGGGAAAGAACGTCCTGCTGCCCAGGGTGCCTGCCTGGCTGTGCAATGTCCCCGAGCACCTTGGAAGCGTTTGCTCCTAATGCTGTGCAAACACACCTGATGATTGCCTGCCTGAATCTCCCTGTCAATGTTTTGGCAAGTCAGCACATCTCTGGCCCGTCAGCACAGCCTTCCTCATCACGCACATCCCCCTTAAGGACCACATCTCTGAGTTACCAACGGGACCCTCTCTTCTCCTGCAGGGGTATTTACATCTCTTGGGTACAAATGTATTCTGGCTTGAGAAGTTGTTACTAAACAAAATAAATCGCCAAACCCACCTCAACCAAAGAGAAGCAGTGCTGACAGGAAGTCTTCAGTAGGTATAAAAGCAAATGCTTGAAATTCTTTGGATAATTTCCATTTCACATACCCACAGGGATTTTACTGGGACTTGTTACAGCAGTTAAATAAAACACGCTGTTACCACGAGAGGAGCAGTTCAATGAAAGAAACTATTAACCTACATAAACTAATTATGCATCAGCAGAGGAGTTTCCAACATTTACTGCTGCTGCCACAGGGGATTAAAAAATAATTCTAAAAGGAACAATCTATAAATCCTTGTGCCATTCACTGTAATCCAATTTCAACATGTGGAGGTGAATGTTTCTACATGCCAGGTATGTGCACGTGGAGGATGAAAGGTATTCTTGAGGAAAATCGTGGCCAGAAATGTTATTTATCTAGGAGGAATAACTTATGTTGAAAAAGTTGAACACCCTTCTAGGGCTTTAGTAAGCCCAGTTATGGACCCGATTTGTGCGTTTTTGGAAAAATTCTTCCATCCTTTGCCCCTCCTTTTCATGATCAGCAGTCTCCCTTCAGCAACAGCACGGGAGCTTTGGGCGGGGAGACACGAATCAGGCCATTTCCTAACACGTTATCCCATTGCTCCGAAGAGGTGCCAGCTGTGGTACCAGGGCACGTCCTAACGCGCGACGAGCCTCTCCCGGCCTCCGCTGGGCGAGCGGCGAGCTGCTGGGGCACACGCTCACCGCCGGCCCCGCTCCCACTCCCCGGGACCTCCGGAGCCCCGGACCCTCCTGAATTAAAAAGATGGGAGGAGGGAGAAACGAATCCTTGGCACAAGGCAGAAACCTCGGCCTCTGAAGTTCAATTGCAGCAAACTCATAAAAAGAAAATAGAAGTTTAAAATGGAGGTGGGGATTTGGGGCAACAAAACCCATCAGCCACAGCACGATGCTGCTCTAACCCCAGCTCTGTGATTGTTAAGTGTACCGCTCACAGCGGTAATTACAGAAATTAGTTTGGGTTTCCTATGTGGCTTCCCATGAACTTCTGAATGTGTTTTCAAGTTTTTACAGGAACCATCTCCCCGAGATGGTATCGTGTCCTGGGAGGATGAATCACTCAAACACCTGTGTTTCCACTGCAGGTGACTGTGCTGCTGATGCCTGGAGCCCGAGCAGAGCAATGCGAGAAGGGAGAGTACTTACACAGTCACTGCTGTGTGGCCTGCCCAGCAGGTGAGGCTTCAGGCACTTACTGCTGGTAGTAGCCAGGAGTTTTCCCCACGGAGAGGACTTGCATCACTGTTGGTTTTCATTTTGCCTCTGGTGAAATGGAAGCCCCACTGGAGCTGTGGTGGCTTTGTGGTGCTCTTAAGGGCAGGCTCCATTTTGAAGCGAGAGGCCTTTGCGCAATAGGTGATGGCTGGGAGAGGCGCCTTGGCAGCAAGCCAGGGAACCTCTGCCTGCTGTGGAGGATGAAGTGTTCAAAGTCAGGTGGTGGTTTGTTTTTTAAGAAAAAAAGCAAACAAACCCTAAACAAAACCAAATCACCGCTTTAGCTCAAAGAAGGGCCCTAGGGGAATTCTGATATTTCTGTATCTGTAGGTAAAACTTTGGCTTGCCTTTGCTCCTCCCCTCCTTGCTAAATGCAGTTAACAAGCTTTGTGCCAAGCAGCACCCTGCTCTTAGTCAATATCAGAGTGCCATCGGGTTTATTTAGAGATAGTTCAAAGGAGAAGAGAGGTTGTTAGAAGCATTTCTCACTGTGCCCTGTCAGAGGAGATGGTGACTTGGAGCTGCAGCGGTGAGTCACCCTCACGCCGCTGGGTCCCAGCAGAGCCCCAGCTGGCTGCCCCACTTGCCCCCACACCCTGGATAGTTGGCAAGCTCTACTAAACACACCATCCTGGCCCGCCATTCTGCTCCGTTCACGTGGCAGCCATTCGCCTGCGAGGGTGGGTTGAACTTTCACCAAATCATCTTTGTGTTGTAACATCCTGTTATAGTCTCTGCTGCTGGAGGAGGCCTTGAGCCTGCTGCCACTGCTGCTTCCCCTCTTCCACAGGTACTTACGTTGCTGAGCATTGCAGTGCTCCCCATTCGAGAGGAAGATGTGTCCCTTGCACCGAAGGAGAGGGTTTCACCGCCCATGAGAATGGCCTGGAAGAATGCTTGTTGTGCACGCAGTGCAAAGATGGTACCAAGCACAATTTTGATGAACCTTAACCCTTTTCCCCTTTTTCTAATGTGAAAAACGTTGTCTTCTGTTTTTTTGCACTTCCAGTCATTGAGAATAGCGAATTTGTAAATAAATTTGCCTTTATGGCCTGAGTGTAATTTTTGCACAGTTGTAGAAAGCCACAACTTTATGAACTTCAACTTCTGTTTTATTTCTAGATCAGATAACTTTGAGACCCTGTACCCTGACGCATGATACTGAATGCCAGTGCAAACAAGGGTATTTCTGCCCTGCCGAGGGCTGTGAAATATGTCAGAGATGCAGTACAATGTAAGTTTGATAATGAATATAAGTGATTGTTTTCCTTCTAGAGAATGTTAGTGCTGTGGCCCAATCTGTGCCAATACCTAACACGTGTTATTAGGCTGTAAATAATTGCCCTGAAGCCAAATAGCATTATTTATGCATTTAAATTTTAGGTGTCAAAATACATGAGGTTGAGACCTAGGATGATACAGATTTCTGGTATTGTTATGCTTGTTGCTTATGGCTGTAAGCTTACACTTTCCATGTCTTCAGATTAGTGCTTGCCCACATACACACTTGAATGAGCTTTGTAGGAGCCAGTCCAGAATTTTTTGGGGGTAGAACTACCTGTTGAAGGAAACTAACTGCATGAGTAATGCATCTACTCTGTTGTTTTTTTCTTTTTCCCTGCCACTTAGAGATTAACATACGTGAGCTTTATCTGCTTTACTTCTACTTAATTTTGTAGTGTTCTCTTGGGTTGTTTAAAGGTGCACTTCTAACAAAGTTATCTGTTTTTACATGTTCTGTTCATGTGTCTAAGCTCTGCCTAAAAAAAAAACCAACCAAAACCAAACAGGCCTGGGCAGAGTGGCATATTGCTCTAGAAATGTTGATACAACCCTGTTGTTGCCATCCCCCTCAGGTGTCCGGAAGGGAAAGAAATTGTGCAGAATTGCAATGCTACTGTGGACCTAGGATGTGGCTTACCTGATCAAGGTCTGGTACCCGAGTACTTCCCAGCTTGGTTTGTTGGGTCTGTGACTTAAGGCTAGTACCCCAGAGCAGTCTGTAAAACAGTGGTTTGAACTACTGTAACACGTTTAAGAGCTGCTGTATTTTGGTCTGGGAATTACTTGCTAAAGACAAGCTCTCAGAGGGCCTGGAGTGACAAATCATCTTAAACTTCACTGGGTGAAAAGCTACATGTGTTGCCAGGGTTTTCAAAGTTGCAACAGTGATACTGTTGAAAGTTATGGATAGTGCAAAGATTTATTTCATGTTTTACATGTCTGAAATAGCTTCTGCCAGACTAGAGAAAGAAGGAACAGATACTCCTAGTGCTACAGCACCTGAAGGTCGCTGATATCTCCTGCATGCTTGTTTCCCCCTTTTTTCTTAAATGCTTCTTCAGAAAGCCTGGTAGAAGTTGCCTTGCAGGCCTGTAGAGAATCCCCCGCTGCCTTTGGGATAACGATGTGCAGTGTGAACTCGTACTTGTCTGTTCAGGTCAGCTGATAGTCCCAGCACCTTTTCTAGGACAAGCTCCTGGGTCACTGTACTAGTGCTGAGCTGAGGTTGTTCTCTAGGACAGAAGGGAGGACTTGAACTTCAGAATGTCTTGTTTGGCGACTGCTTCACTACTAATTTTATTCCTTTTTTTCCTTTGCAGGAAGCACATATCTTGCTTGGATTATTGTGATTATTTTAGGGGTTGGTAGTGGTTTGTTGCTGCTGCTGCTGTTTGTAATTAGAAAGCTGAATAGTCATAAAGGTAACTGCTTGATTACTATCCATAAACTTTCCAGAAATAGGCAAAGCATGAACTAAGGCTATCCCTGGTTAATGTTGCCTTATAGGGGACCAGTTTAAGCTTTAGCTCATTTAGTATGTGATTCAATTAACTCCTGTATGATGGAGACTAATTTTGTTCAGTGAACAAAATGCATAAACTTTAACTATGAGCTTTTTTTCTTAGCTGACAGATGTTTTTGCTTTAAAGCAAGATTAGTGTAAGGTCCTTGAAAGGACTTTTCCTCTCTGCTTGCATTGTATTGGCAAAGAGTGAGAAAAAACTGTGCATGAGCTCAGATGTATGGGGCAAGAAGTGGCAATTAATTAGATCATTAACTACTTTCACTGTTTAGCTGTGGAGAATTTTTTTTTTCTACAGATTGTTGCCCTTTTATCACTTGAGCCTCTTGACTTACAAACCTAACATTCATGTTCTGTGTGAATTCATTTTATTTTTTTTTAGTGGAAATGGAAATGTTTTCCTGAGAAACTTTTCTTTCCACTACTGCATATTAAAGTGTTTTCACAACTAGTTTAGTTAATGTTAAAAATTATTCTGAATTTTGAACATTAACTTTTCAAATCATGTCTGACTGTATGGTAGTAAAGGCTGTTTCTGCCTTCTCTTTTGTATTGCAACAGCCCACAGACATGCTAAGGAGCATAAGCTGGAGGGGGGAGGTTGAAAGAGTGGCTTAAAAGCCAAACTGCATCTTGTGGTCTGTATTTTACTAAGCGGGCCTTCTTATTCCCTGCATGAAGGCACAAGGTTTGTGCTGTTGGTGGAAGCTAAGGGTAGTGCTCTCATGTATGACAGGTCAAGGAAAATAACTGGCTTGTATTAGATATTTGGGTTGTGTTACAAAAGTGTCTGCTGAATATAAATCTTGTGGGAATTCAGCTGTTTAAGTTGTTGCGACTCCTAAAGTTTCTTAGACATTTATCTTGTTTTCCAGCTGCTTTACCTGATAAAGATGCAGAGAAAGGTCTGGTAAGTATATGGTGGATCAAGTGTTTCATCTCAGTTTTGTGCAGCATAATTGTGCTCTGCTTAACTGTACCTGATTTTTATTTCAATTTTTATCTCGCTGTAGACCTCTGGTAGGATGCGTTCCTGTGACAAGTTGTGATTCAGACAGGGCCAGATGTTAGCAAGGGCCTGATGCTTTCATTAGCTCCATGTGTCCACTGCAGTTGGCCTTTCCAGTACTTTCCTTGGAAACATTCTGGAGCTTGTGGCCAGGATGTTTTGAAAGTGGAAAATTTAGCAAAGTGGAAAAAAATTTGGCTAAGTGCAAGATTTCACTTCAGACTGTCTCCAAGTGATGCCTTGATCCAATTAGTTCTTTGCTGCTTCATGCATGTATTCACCAGGCAATGACAGATGTCTCTTCCCTGCACGGTGGTGTTCTAGCTTTCCTTGCGTTTTGACTACAATGTTGTTTGTTCACAAGACTGACTTCTCTTGATTCAGCGAAGTGGCTGAGTCTTCCTGCCTTCAGGCTTATGTCACACACTAAAGACCAGGGCCTGGCAGTGTAACTGCTTGGTCCTAGGCAGTCCCATAAAACAAGGGGTTTGGGGCTCAGCACACCAGTTCAGAAGTACATCCCTGAAAAGGGTTTACCAGGCTAAGGCTGGCTGCTGGTATGGGTTTTGCTTTAAAGCCAGGTTCACCCTGGCCTCCTGCAGTCAAACACTATTTCAGCTAGGCTAGCACTTTGCAAGATAAATACAAGACTAGCTTGTATTTAGCTAGTCTAGCTTTACACTCCTAACAACACTCTGAGGCAAAAATGAGCTCAATCTTCACTAATTCTGTTAACAACATGTAACACCAAGCTGTAAAACAAATGTTTGTCTTGAGGATCTAAGAAAAGCATCCCTATTCCACTTGGAGCATGTGTGCAGCAACTTTTTCTCCCTGTTGCCTTTCTTGTTCCCCCCTCAGTGCATGCACTACTCACCTGGTGTGTAAGCTCTTGTCTAATCTTACTAGTTAGACACTGCAAGAAATTAAATGCATTTTAATTATGTCACAAATACTTGAAGACTAAAGAAATAGAATTGAAAGATCTGTTAAAAACATCACCTTAAACCCTTCTTTTTTTTTAAGGTCCGTAAGTGGCTCAAATATGTGAATCGCCCGTGGGTTTTTGTTGGGTTGTGTCTCCCCACACGCCCTGGCCAGATTTGCAGTGCTTCGTCTATTCGTAGAAGCTGATGAAGAAACGTGACAGGAAAACCTGGTCAAAATGCTGTAGTGTAGGAATAGGCAAATACACCGTCTCCTTTAATTTGAATAAAATGGTAGTAGAATAACACGATCACAAATTAGTGCATGGTGGTGCTTAGCTCTGACGTAAGAGTTGTCACAGACTTGAGTTGCAATGTCTGCCTGCTTAGAGTGTTCATGCTACTGTAGCAAAAAGTTTACTTACTAAGGGGAGTTACCTGGTCTGAGGACTGCATCGTGTGTTTTGTCGCCAACACGCTGTCCTTTCCAAAGTACCAGTGAATTCATACTTTTGTAAGAAAAAAGAATACTGCTGATACTTCATTTCATTTCAAAATATAGCAGCAGTATTAGTCAGTGGTGCTGGGTACCTTCACTCAGTTACCTATTTAAGAACTATTCTGTATAAATAGGATCAACTTGTTTAACTTGTTTGTACCCTTAAACAGAAAGTGGACTCAATGAGGATGATGTACAGCTACATGTGTGATGTGTGGGGTGGTTCCTCTCACATCCCTGCTTACGCATTTGGTCAAGTGCTGGTGTCACATGTGGGTCACTGACCTTATGCAAACAAAAATCATACTGGCTTACACTCATGGGGGAGCAGTACCTTAAACACAAGTCCCATGGGGAAAAACAGTCACTCCTTGCCCTCATTTTCCATGTTTAAAAAAAAATTCTTAAAGCTTTCCAGTTTTAGCACTGGCTGACATGCTAGATAGATGCTGGCCTGCTTTGTACTTGTGCTGTTCTTGATGCATTGGAGCTATACTCCCTAGCATATGCTTATTTAATGTGGTGATCATGCTAAAACTGATGCAGCCCCTCCTCACTCGCTTCCCTCTGTCCCCTCACAAAAGCTATGCAACGTGCACTGGTGCTCACTGACTTTTTTCAACTGATTCTAGTTTGTGAATCTGCCAGAAAAACTAATCCAGCCACAAAAAAAAAAAGCCCAAGTTAATGCACTGACATGGGGCTGGTAGGCTATTATCACCTCAGCAAAAGCTCTGAGATCATCAATCCTGATACAGTGGTAGGCTTGAGGCCCCTATTGCTGTAAAGTCAGCTCAGGTGCAGCAAGGCAATTTAATTTCCTTCTGCCCTAGGAGGGTGCATACCTTCCATACCTAGAGACGAGCAAGCAGCAATACCTGCCAGTGAAAACATTAGAAAAAGTTTCCTGTGTTTGTTGTGGAGGTAGCCTTTGAGCCTTACCCCGTAGTCCAGTGGGAGCAGAACAGCCAGCAAAGCAGAGAGTTGAGGCTCTGAAACCATTTGAAGTCCAAGTCTCTTAAAGGCTGTAACTTTGCCACGTTTGTAACTCTGCCAAATTAGCAGCTCTCCTATTATTTTTGTGGTATTTGGTGACTTCAGGTATTCTGTTTTCTTCCTCCAAACTGTCCTTGAAGGCCTACCTATGAAACATCTCTTAAAATATGTTCTTATTCTTTACAGGAGTCTGAGGGCAGTACCGAAAGCTTCATTTTACCAGAAATGGAGACACATGCAAATAATGCCAACCCAGAGGGTGAGAACTCTGGTGAGAGCCCAGAGGGCCAAGTACAAACCAGCGTTAACTTGGAAGTAAAACCCACATCACCAGAGGAAGATGGTGTTGTGCTTTCTGAGGGGGGCACCATCCTGCATGGGCACTGGAAGCGCCACATGGAACGGTGCTGGAGGAGAATTGCTGAGTCTTTGTTACCAGCAAAAACTGGGCGGAATCCTGCTTTTCGTCAGAATGCCCTGTCCAACACACCAAGTGGTAGGATGTCAGCAGATTGGATGGTAAGTGTGTGTGTTTGTGTGTGTGTGTAATTCTCATCATATTTCTGGGCACGTGTAATTTTAGTTGAGTTTCTAATTATTCCTTGAGTGATAGGTACTGTTTTCAGGCAGAATGATGGAGAATAGGAGGCTTTGCCTTAAAGATGTAATAGAAAGTATGGGAAGTGATGTCTTGGGAAAGCAAACTTCAGTCCCTCATTTGATCTGCTCTGCCTCTCTCATCCCCCTGTTCAATATTTACACAGAAGCTAGTCTTTTGCAATAGTAGCAAATTTGTTGCCTTGTTGCTTCACTTCAGAGCTGTTTCAGTGTGCCATTTTCTTTACTCAGATACTTCCAGCTGTGCTGTGAAAATCTGCCCCCTCCCCCTTACCGGTGTGTGTGCTGTGGAAGCAAGCTATCAAGTAGCTCAGGAATAATCATGAGTAAAGTGCTCTGATATGTTTTAGTAATGGTCCAACTTTGTATTACAGGTACGAGAACCAAAGTGTCAAATAATTCTTAAAGATCTCTCTCAAAAAGGTAAGTATTCCATAAATGGGCAGTATTTGAATTTGGTTTTTTTCCTGTTGACTTTGGTCTGCATAAGGAATAGTGGAGGGAGGCTGATTTTTCTTAGAGCTATAAGGCTTTCAGTCTACTGTAAACCATGCAGAAACAGGATTATTACTACATTTGGGTGAAGTTGTAATCCCTGTGGTGAATTGTTCTACTTTAAAGCATGGCTTTTCTGCACAGGAGTATAGTGCAGTCATGCTTTTAAGAATAAGAATGGTACAAATTTGGTGTTGTATGTTTTAAACAAGTCTGCATCGCAAAGTGTACTCTGCCTTAATGAGTGAGGTATAGGTCAGAGCAGATCTTTCTGAAAAATGTCTGCTCATGTGGAAGACCACATCGAATCCCTGTACATCTACCTGTATTCAGCAAGTTGATGTGCTGGATGTCCAAGTGACAGGTTTTGCTTATGCTGGTCTTGGTGTGGCAACCCTATACCAATAGCGTAGTGCAGTAGTGTTTGAAGCCTGATGTTGAGTAGCCCTACTGGGCTTAAGTGAAGACGTGCAGGCCAATGAAGCTGTCCTCAAACCCACCTTTACTGAGTGGTGTCTCATCCTAAGAGACTACTTTTGAGACATGTCGAATGATACCTTTAGCCTCTTTCAAGGTCACTTAGTAGGAAATGTTTGTCCTGCTGCTTCTTAGCAGCAGCAAGGCCAGGTTTGACACCTATTTGGTCTGTGCATGTATTGGCTGAAAATTAATGGGAAAGCATGTACATTAGCTATGAAAAAAAGCTGTAGTTTAAAACCTAAGCTGGTGTGTTGTTTATGTTTTCTTTCAGAACTGAGAGATAGCTTTTGGGCCTTTATAAATGAAGTACCACTGAAAAAATGGAAGCGGCTTATGAGAACTCATCTGCAGGAAAATTATATTGATAAAATTATTCATGACTTTCCTAATGATACAGAAGAGCAATCTTATCAGATGCTTCTCACCTGGAAAAACACACTGGGAGAGAAACAATCTATTATTAAGTTACTGGATGAGTTAAGGTATCTAGATACCAAGGCTTATGATAATGTATTGAACACTTTAAAAAGTATTAACGTTATAAGTAAATTCGAAGCCACAAATTAATGTTTATGATAAACTTCAAAAATGCTGCTGTGTACATACATGTGTCTACAAACTTCCTGTAAACGAGGACATCAACAAACTGCTAGTAAAAATGACGGCACGGACTTGATATCCTCCTCACCTTCACGCAGGGAGCTGGAAGTGATGTCGGCATTAACACCGACTCCGGTTGTGATGTTCACTGAAGTCAGTTTTGAGTTGTATGATATTAAACTCAGGCGCTGGATGCCAGCTTGAGAGCGAGGAGCTCCAGCTTGCGCTTCCCTTCGTGTGAGGCAGGACCGGGCACTGGCGACCAAGAGGCTTGTGCTGTTTTTGAGAGGATTGCCACGCTTTGGTTTCTGAAAGGATTGTGTTTTGGTTTTGCACTGTTGCGTTTGGAGCACAGCAATAAAAGCCCGGCTGAGCCAGAAGCGGGGTTGACTCCTGAGCTTTCTTGTCTGGGAGGGGGGGGCGGGAAGGAG